ATTTAGGTCAATTATAAAGAATTTGGTTTAGTGGATTTATGTCTTGTATAATAATAATACTCAATTAAAAAAATTTGATCAATTCATATGGAGTGACCAAGGCAACTAGCATGATGGTCTAGACCATGGTTTAGGCATGTTATTGGAGAGATAAAGATTTGACCAAGTTTTGAAAAAGAAAGGTATCCACATTAATGCATATGGGGGGGATTTGGTCTAGGTCCAATCTGATTTAACTAATCAAGGGTTGGCGGTTAACCAAGTCAACATTTGACCAAGTTGAGCCAAACCCAATCAATGAACAACTATTAAGGAACTTAGATAGGGTCTTAATTTGTAGGAGTTTAGTGAATAATGAAGAGTGTTTAATAAAATCAATTCAGAGTTTTGATCAAATTGAGCTAGATTAAGCTAGCTTAATGAATGAATGAGTCAACCATTCACTTAGGATAGCTAGGGCTGATTGCTTTGATGTATTGAAGCTCTAATTAGGTTGAGATTTAACAATGATTTTGAAATTAAGGTTTATATACTACATGTGTGCACTACAAGGAAATATCAACGTTATTACTGATGGTAAATTCCGACAGTCAAAAAAACTGTCAATTATTATCAGCGGTTAAATCGTCTATCGACCGTCAGGTATTAACTTAAACAGTTTACCCTGGCAGTTGTTTAATTATTAAATCGCCAGAATGTCTGCGTAGTAAAATAACCTTGGGTAGCGCCACTAGTTTTGCTATTTTCATGTTGCCCCTTTGCAAGGCAACTAAGCCAGTTGCGTAGTGTTAATGTGTTTTTTTTTATGTAGAAACTGCCATAAATTGACCTAAACATTGGCAACCCGACCCATCCTCCCATTTGTTTATGTATCCATTTTCCTCCAGATGGCTTGCGCTCACGAATGCGCCTTTTGACTTACCACCATAGAATCCGTCACCGACAATCCTAAATCCGCCGATTGATCATGCCCTCACTCTGGGCCGTCAATTCACGTCTGCACTCTACCGTCGAAACCCTTTGGAGCACTCCGACAATGCCCCTGAAGTTGAAGGTTTTGAATTTTTCTTTTTTACTAACTTTTAATGTTTTATAGTGTCATTTACTTTAAAACTATGGGAGAGTTATGGAGCATAGATTGTGGTGTGATGCTAACATTTTGCAGAAATACAAATTTAGATTCATGCAAGGTTAGCGTCCAACTATGAAGCTATATATTTTTTTATTATGGGTTTTGATGTGAGAACTATATAGAACAACTAAGGAGGGATTCTATACATGATATTTATTGATTTTTTATTGAAAGTTAATTATTGATAAAGTTTCCAAGAGGAAGCGCTATGGAGAGTTATAGAAAAGAAAGGGTATGTTATATATGTTATATTCAAGTCATTAAGGATATAAATGCAAGATATTACTTTTGTTTCAGACAGAAGGTTGGTTTGACCAAATATTTTTTTCTACTTAGTTGGATACTGTCAGGATCGGCCTAAGCTTCCATTATATTTTTACTTTAGTCATGGATGTTCTCACTAAAAATTTGCAAGAGGTTGTCCCTTTGTGTTACTTTTTGTTGAAGTTATTCTTCTTGTTGAAAATATGAGAGAGGAAGTTTGAAGGCCAAACTTGGGAATTATTGAGGAAACCATAAAGTCTAAGCTTTTTGTTTGAGTATATTTAAATAACTGAATATAGAAGTATGTTTTTCAGTAATAAATAGTTATTTGTGGATGCGGATTATGGACCTTGGTTGATAAAGTCATTAATAAGAGTATAAATTTTAAATATATTGGGTTCTATTATTTTGAGTGACGGTTGGCAAATAGATAGGGTTATTATTAGTATTAACTCAGGTTGGATGGTTAAAGAGCAAGGAATATTTTCAAACTTGTTAGTGATGAAAAGTTTCCCCTAAAACTTAACGAGAAAAATCTCTACTTTGGTGGTTAGAACCTGCAATGCTTTATGGTGCAGAATGCTGGCCAATAAAGAGAACCATAATATCTGATTTAAAATAAACACATAAAACAGTTGCATTCTGATAACCCGGTTAGGAGACGTAAATGATATTCATTTCTTAAATTTAAATGAGATTCCAGGCTGCGTATCTTCTAATAATTAATTTTCACAACCTATTAAGGAATGTTTACTTTAACACCAAATTGACTATCAAAAGATGAGAATATTTATGTATTAACAGATTTTACTTAGTCAAAAGGATTGCATAGATGAATTTATTTGTAGAGAATTTAGACTTTTATTCAAGTGTATCTCAACCACCTTCCTTTAATTCGAGTAGAATGTTTTAGAAGTCCATGTTTTGAAGGCAAAAAATCCAGCATTTCCTCAAGCCCGCATTTGATGCAAAGGTTGATTTTATATCGTAAGGCATTTGCTCCTAGACTACTTAGATTTGGACCCACATGTGTTAAGTGTGGAGCCATACTGAGATACTCATACCGGATCCATCCACAGCTTTTTAATATTTAATTGAAGGATTCAACATGATTAGGACCATATAAAGAACTTATTTTTTAATGTTCAGGTCCGAGTTTAAGGGGCTAGTGGGCAAGGAGCCAACCAAACCTAGAAACAAAAAAATTCTTTAAGTAATTACATGACAGTCAAAAACTAATCTGGATGATGATTGCAAAAATCGTTCAGAATTATTGATTATTATGAGTGATTCTAAAGTTATCCAAACTGGTAAATAATATCTCCTATAGATATATATATACATAGATACATTTGATACTTCTCAAGGACAATAAATCCAACTAATAATTTATAATCCCATGAGAATTGTATCGAATAAAGGAAATTAGGTACTACAAGTGGGTTCTCATTACTACAAAATTGATTGTTTGTATCATAGATATATATTACACAGTACAAGGATGTGCAACATAAGTCTTTTTGTTGCTCCTGTAATACGCCTCAGTTTTACACCAATACTCGAAAAAAATGTCATAAAAAAAAGAGATGTTTCATATCTCATTATTTACTTGCCGATCATTCCAAGACTTCAAAGGACTCTATGATTTAATGGATTAGTAGGTCAAGAGATCGCGTATTAAAAGATAAATTACAGCCATAAGTTGGTTATAATGTTCTTTCTCATTCATCCAGCTGACTTGACGCACTAGGCCCACTCTTATTGAATGCTGCTCTTACACACTTGATTGCTGGCCGCACCACCACATAAAAAATAAAAACAAAAAAACAAACAAAAAAAAAATAAAAAAAAAAAAAAAAAAAAAAATAAATAAAAAAAAAGAATAAACAACAAAGAAAAAACAAATGAAAATAAATAATAAAACAATTTAAAAAATCATGATGTTAAAGCGGTTCTTTTCGCTCATTCACACAAGTCAGCAGCTCAGGCCGCCATTCATTGAGGTGGCAACCTAGTAGCACATTTTTACCCGCGTCGCGCTGACTCGTGCATATAGTGTCGACTCATCTAGCGGAACCTCCTGAGACCGCTCGCCCCAATCATGCCACACTATACTAGACTATCTATTCCAGAATGTAATACTTGAGATATAGTGTAGACTATCATCATGTAAACAAAAAAAGAAGAAAAATTTCAAACGTACATAATTATACTATTGCTACTTGTCAAAAATAACGCAAGCATACTTTTTATTCATTTAAAATGCCTCTCCAAAAATAATAATATATTAGAATAAAAACCACAACACACCTTTAATTTTGTCCAACAGTATCAAAGGCTTATTATGTCACCAATCACTTATAATACAATATTAAAAACATATTTGGATTTTTAATACTTGATTTGATTAGGTGTAGGACAAGTATCAATTCATTTAATGAATAGATTTCTAAATACATTTTCTATTACAAATAATAACAAAATTATTAAAAATAAAAACTAGAAACACAACTTAGAAATTCAAAACTATTTAAAGAACATTAAGGTCCAAACATAATTTTTTTTTCATTTTCTAAAAGCTTTTGCATAGCTTTCATGGGTAGCCTACTGGCTTCAATTTCAATTCCTAAAAAAAAATAAAACAAATTAGTCTTATCTATTAGACTTGATTTGAGCTATTGTCCTCAGTGGTGATTTTCAACTTAGTTTTAAGATTTAGACTAATAATTTACATTTGTCACAATATAATATAAGTTTTCGTTTTATGTGCCTTCTCTCAAATTTGTTTTGATAAATAAAATCCTCAACCGTTTCTAGTTAAAATAATAACAGTAAAGCCACTAAATTCAACAATTAATAGAATTGAACGGGGTTGCCACCCACCGCGCC